AATGCTGAAAGTCCTGAATATTATAATTCATATGAAAATAAAAAAAAGGTCAACCTTTTGTTAAATAATGTAGTATGTGATGATTTCATTGTTTTCTGACTGTCCAATTCCATCACATGTTTGATGTTGGTTTTATAATCTATAGATGAGAACGGGGTTGCCAGCAGTTGTCCTCGTCTCGTTTCTGGCACTTCTGTGGGGTCTGAAACCTGTGTTGGGGATTAGATTTATAATGCATAGAGAAGAATGTCTTTCCCATGATGTTAAATACATAGCTGATAAAGTTCAGGTGTCGTTTGTTGTCATTAAGTATGATTCTGGTTGGCCAGATGCTCAGCAGGGTGTTGATCTTGTGGTAAGCTTCTCTTTCTTACTGATATACTCAGGATTGATCCTGCTATTGCAGTTACTTTTAACATGTTAAGTTATATTTCTGCTTTGGATTATGTAAAAAATTCAAGTTTCATTGCAGTAGGATATGTCATATCAAGATTTGCTAATTTTGATTCTTAAGTTAATGTTTGGATGGAAAATTGATCACTCTGCTGCATCAAGCACTCCCACCTTTTCAAGTATCAAATCAGAAATTTCTATTTTAAGGATGTGTTGGTCTAGTTTCTTGTCTAAAACTTAATAATTGAGATATTCTTGGAAATGTATGAGAAAAGTTATGTTAGGCACTAAGTCTCCTACAAAATTACAAAATTCTTTTCAAGCTTTTTGCTCTGTGGAATCACCATTGAGTTTGCACTCTTTTTTTGTGATTGCCAGGTTAAGGGACCTTCTGGTGATCAGATTATTGATTTTCGTGACAAAATAAGTGAGAAATTTGAGTTTGTAACTCGTGAAAAAGGAGTCCACCGATTCTGCTTTACCAATAAATCTCCACACTATGAAACCATCGATTTTGATGCACATGAAAACCATTTTACAGTCTTTGAAGAGCATGCAAAAGATGGTAACTCATGCCTGTTTTTTATTCTCGTTGATCTGCTTCTTTTCCTGCAGAAATCTCGATAAAATGGTGGCCCCCCAAAGACATCACATGCCTTAGAATCTACTTTATCTAGCTATAACTCACAATTGCTCACTAAGGCATGTAACTACTTCTGCCCTTTAGTCTACTGCAACCTAAACATGCTTATGGTTAGTCACATGCACAACTCTGACCATATGATATTAGAGATTCTAAATCTGATATTAGATTTACATGAGACATGTATGGACATAGGGATTTCCTATGTCCATTCATCAGTATCAGCTTAAAAAGGGTTAACTTCCTAAGTCTGTGCATCACACCATGAAAATGAGTAAAACAAAAAGGGGAGGAAAAGGGAAAAATGTTATTTGCCTGATGATAAAGCCAGATGAAGTTGGCTCTGCTCGTTGATACAGTCCTATCATAAATGTACACATTGTCTAAATGCTTTGTCCTAAGCAGTATAGGCGAACCCTAGTATGGCTTAGGGGAAATTAAAAACATTCCAACAAAATCCTACCCCTTCAGATAAGCTTAGAAAGTAATGCAACATCTATAATCAATTACTTATGAGAAACTAGCATAAAACCGTCTCAAAACAAAGGTCAAGAAAGAAAACTTGAATTCTTAAAAGCAATTGGGAAATTCAGAAAATAGACACAGATGGCGCACCTTCTGCTGCCTCTCTCTTTTATCCTTGACTATGGCAGCTTGCCTTGCCTTACAATGCCTACAGTTGGGTAAAGCACACATTACCAACTTCAACATGGACAGATTAAAAAATGAAATTACTAAATAGTGTACTGACTACCAAGTTCTCCAAGACATGGTGACAAAAAGTTTTCAATATTTCCCTAGGCAAAGCCATATATAACAGGACACAATTCTCCTGAGAAACACTGCAGCAACTATGCATCTCGCATTCATTCCATAGTTCATATTAGAGACTTGGAGCTTAAGCATGAGAAATTAGTTTATTTATTACTTCTAGCATCAAATATCTTGAGATATTGTCAATTTTGCAAACACTGTCAGACTTATCAGCCCAAGCAAAATATGCCATATGCAGTAAGCCTGAAAAATGGAACAGGGGAAGCAAAGGCAAAAGTGTAGAGAAAGAGTTTTAGTATCATACAGAAGTGCACCACTTGCCACCTCCACAACAAACTTCTGCGTTGCAACAGCAACCAGCCTTGTTCGGCAAAAGTAAGCAAGAAATTAAGATGAAATTTTATCTTTATACATAACATAACCAAAAGGGCAACCTACAACATGTCACATTTAAGGAAAAATTTTAAAGTTGGGAATATGATATTAGAGATTCTAAATCTGATATTAGATTTACATGAGATATGTATACACATAGGGATTTCCTATGTCCATTCATCAGGATCAGCTTAAAAAGGGTTAACTTCCTAAGTTGAAACAACAGACGAGGAACATGATTCTGCTTTCTGCCAAATGACAAAATGAGCATGCCATCTCTACTCTCCAGTGTGGACAAACCCAGAAGCTTGTAAACTCATTAGACACAATAAAAAAAATGCAACATAAATTGAAGCCACTAGTAAATTTATATCTTCACTCAAATTTTCTCAACAACCAAACAAAGTTAGAAAATGCAAGAGCAACACGTACCTTCAATTTCTTCAAAGGAAACGCAAGCCACACAAAGATGTCCACAGCCAGCAAAATTTTAAGCTACACTAATCTGTATTCAACCAAAATTACTGGGTTTAAGCGCAAAACTACTGGGTTTTGAATACAAAAGATTAGGCAACTACCCATGAAAGCAAATCACTCAGGGAAAAGAACAAAATAAAAAGAACAACAAAATAACAAGAACAACAAAACAACAAATCAATAGGAGGCAAACTGAAAGAAGGAAAACCCAATGAAACGATTAGAGTTTAGATCGAGAACCTGCTGTTGACAGAGATGATGAAAACTCAGGCAGATGCGTGCGATCGTGGAGTGGTTTCAGTTGCCGATGACAAGAACGTGAGAGAGCAGCGGCAGAGTTGACGATGAACGGAAGTCACAATGGAGGCTTCATCGCTGTTGGGGTGTGGAGAAAATGCAAGGTTTGAAATTGAAATCCATGGGTTTAAGGATGAATTTGAAATACACGGATTTTGAGTCTTTCAAATACCCTGGGTAAAATACATCTATTTGACTTAAATCCAAGTACATTTTATTTAGGTAAAAACAAACAGTAATATTGAATTTGACATGTTCAAATTCAAATACACTATCAAATTCATGTTCTCAAACAGAGCATTATAGATTTTTAGTTCAATGACTGCAATAATTGGTTTTAACCTATTGGTTATAACTTCTAACCAAATCAACAACGAATGTTAGTTTCAAATTTAACAATTACTATACTTAACTAAAATTTGAAATTTTTAAGAAATATAAATATAACAAAATATTAAAAACTTGGAAAAATAAGAGTAAAATCCCTAATTGCAACTCCTAGAAATCCCTAATCGCTTCCATCCCAAAAATCCCTAATCACAATCCCAAATTTTTACCCAAAAAAATCCCTAATTGCTGTAAGTCAGACATAATGGGTAGCAAAATTGGGAAGGAAAAGAAGATGGGTGATGATAACAAAGATGACAAGGTAACCTTAGATCAAGAATTGCAACAAATGCATGCCGATTATGAAAAGGTTTTTCTCCTTTTTTAGTCATTTTCCTTTTAAGCTATCTTTTAGTTTTCTTTTGGCTTTACACAATCCTCCATTTACATATTTAATTCCAAAGAGGAAATATTTTGCGTGGAGTACTTGTAGATCTCGCCAAACCAGAGAGGATTGTAGCTCGTAATGCCATACACCAAAATTCTTCAAGATTTGGAGGAAAGGTATTCCTTGAAACTATTTTCAATTTTTAATTAGCATTTTATTTCCATGAATTCTTGAAACTTTACATGCATTCAGTGTTGAAACCAAAATACATGAGTATTGGGAGAGGACAAGAATATAAAGATATAAATGCTTGGCTGGTAAGTTTCACCTATTTTATTCATGCTTGAGTTCCACAGACATTTAATATTTGTTTTTGGTTTATAGTTTTTTGCTTCCTTCTATTTTTAGAAGCCAATACAACAAGCTAGTCAAAAGGTTGCTGAAGAAAAGAGGAATTTGTCAATGCAGGTTCAGATGCTGCAAAGATCTAGTATAAAATGACTTTCCATTTACTTGAGATTTATAATCACTTCCACCCAATTCAATACTAGAAATTACTCAATTACATCCACTTTTTGTTTTTGAAGCCAATGTTGGTAGAAGTGAAGCAGAAAGATTAGCACGGTATCAAAAATTTTTTCATGTACATGAAGCCAGCATCAAAAGAGTAAATTCTTGTCTTTAGAAATCCTACTTAATGTGTGTGACTCCATATATATCTTTTATCATTAGTTTTCATATATATTTTTCATATATATGAAATAACACATATATATCTTTCATATATATGAAATAACACATATTAAGGAAGATTTATAAAGATAAGAATTTACTCTTCTGATGCTGGCTTCATGCACATGAACAAATTTTTATATTATGCTAATCTTTCTACTTCACTTCCACTAACATTGGCTTCAAAAACAAAAAGTGGATGTACTTGAGTAATTTCTAGTATTGAATTGGGTTAAAGTGATTATAAATCTCAAGTAAATGGAAAAGTCATTTCATACCAGATCTTTGCAGCATCTGAACCTGCATTGACAAATTCCTCTTTTCTTCAGCAACCTTTTGACTAACTTGTTGTATTGGCTCCTAAAAACAGAAGGGAGCAAAAAATTATAAACCAAAAACAAATATTAAATGTCAGTGGAACTCAAGTATGAATAAAGTATGTGAAACTTACAGCTAGCATTTATATCTTTATATTCTTGTCCTCCCTCCCAATACTCATGTATTTTGGTTTCAACAGTGAATGCATGTACAGTTTCAAGAATTCATGGAAAGAAAATGCTAATTAAAATTTGAAAACAGTTTCAAGGAATTCCTCTCTTCCAAATCTTGAAGAATTTTGGTGTAGGGCATTATGAGCGACAATCCTCTCTGCTTTGGCAAGATCTACAAGTAATCCATGCAAAATGTTTCCTCTCTAGAATTAAATAAGTAAAAGGAAGATTATGAAAATTAAAAAGAAAACTACAAAACAGCTTAAAACGAAAATGACTAAAAAGAGAAAAAGGAAAAATCTTTCCATAATCGGTGCTCAGTTTTTCCTTGTCATCTTCTTTATCATGACCGATCTTCCCAACTTGACTTCCCATTACATTTGAGTTACGGCAATTAGGGGTTTCTTTAGGTAGAAATTTGGGATTGGATTTCTGGTAGCTGCAATTAAGAATTTTTTTGGGTAAAAACTTCAGATTGTGATTAGGGATTTCTGGGATAGGGGCGATTAGGGATTTCTGGGAATTGCGATTAGGGAAATTGGTGGGATGGAGGAATTTTGTATGGATTTTTGGGGCGGACGATTTCTGGGTGGAGAATCTGGATTTAAATTTAAAAGAGATTTGGGTGTGGCGAAGAGCACTAACGAATACGTTGAGGTATACATTCTCATTATCATCTAATTGGGGTTAGTGTTCAAGATTTCAGGGGTTGATTTAGTGTATTGCCGACCACCAGACAAAACCTAATAATAGACAAAAAAAAAAAAAAAACCTCAACGAAACTCGAAATTCAATCAAATGAAGAATATTAAAGAAGTTGAAGCTAAAGAAAGAGAAACTTACGCAAGAGCACGAAAATGATCCTGAATTTCACCGTAGATCTGCTCCAATTGAGGGCTCATCGGCAAGTCGGCCGCCATTCCGTCGGCCGTTGATCTTCCAAGTCCACGGCAAAACCCTTTTCAAAACAATATTCGCGTTCAAATCCCCGAGCTTATTGCCTACCCAACATTCAAAATTCTTTATTCTCTCCACCAGAATG